TACTACTTCTAATTTGGACTTATTTGCTACAAAATTGTTAACTTTTAAAAAAAACCTAAAACTTAAGTTTCTAGAATGAACTCTAGTGTGATATTTTATTTGTGATTTATTGAATAATTAAATCTTACCTAAGTTTTTAGATTAGAACAACGAAGACCTCTACATATACCAATGTGATATATAACTTGTGATTACTTGTATAAAATTTTTATATATTATATATATATATTTTTTTTTTAAGCAAAGTATAGATATTACTTTGGTAATATCGGGATACTATTTTTGGAATTATGTTCTGTTTGTATCCCAAGGACTGTAATAAATAAATAAATAAATAAATAAATAAATAAATAAATAAATTTACGGATTTAGAGAAAAATCTCTTTTAATTTTTAAATCTTACTTGGACGAAAGATACCAAATGGTTAAAAATGGAGAGTCATCGTCGACTCTAATGCCGGTAGATACTGGGGTCCCACAGGGGTCTGTACTTGGGCCAATTCTTTTTTTAATATATCTTGAAGATCTGTTGAAGTTAGTGATTGAAGGTGCTTTTACGACTTTTGCCGATGACAATACAATTACTTGGAGTCATAAGGATTTGCAAGTTTTAAAGCAAATGGTTGCTAATGATTTGGAGAAAATTAGGTTATGGTGCGACTCTAACTTTCTGTGTTTCAATATTGACAAAACTAAGGTCTTAAGTTTTAAGTTTGATTTTGATTACCTTCAATTGGGTCAACTGTCAATATCACAAAGTGAAAATACAAAATTTTTGGGAATTCATATTGACAGCAAACTAAAGTTTACAACTCATATCGAGAACTTGAACAAAAAAGTTGCAATGGGCAGTTACGCAGTTAGACTAACCTTCTGGGAATTGGGTACACAAATGGCTAAAACAACGTATTACGCCTTAGTCGAATCGCATTTGCGCTATGGTGTAGCTTTCTGGGGAAATTGTTGCCAGAATTTATTTGAGTCCGTTTTTATTATGCAAAAGCGATGTGTGAGATATCTGTGTGGGGCCGGATTTAGGGATCACTGTAAGCCCCTCTTCAAAAAAGAGAGGATTTTGACATTGTCTGGATTGTTCATATTGGAAACTGTGAGCTTAATTTTCAAAAAATATAAAGATGTCACTCATGCTTATTTTTATCAAACCAGAAATCACAATGATATTCCTCTTCCTATTCCTAGTTCCAGCCTTACACAAAACTCCATTATTTATAGAAGTGTAAAAATCTTTAATAAGTTACCACCAGAATTTAAATCTGTTGATAATTTCAAAAAATTTAGAAGAAAAGTAAGGGATTGGTTGACTGATAGGGCATACTACTCTATAAATGAGTATCTCTGTGATCATTATTAATTTAAAATTTTACTATCTGCCAAAAAGACACACATTATTATTCCTTGAGTCTGATTTGCACTTTAAATTTTATTTATTTCTATTTATTTTAAGTTTATTTATTTTTTATTTTTTATTTTAAATTCTTGTGTGTGTAACAACTGTAAACGTTTTTAGGTACGTATTTTAATCAACAACTAAGTGTAATCAGTGTGTATGATTTTAATTGTAATGTATTTTTATTTTTTTAACCTTACCATGCCAAACGATGTTCCTATTTTGTTTTGTTGTCCCTTTGAAGATGTTTGGATGGTAGTTTTTGTTGTTTTCGGTTTCATCTGTATAACTCTATATATCCCTACCTCGTTTAATGTTATGCTATTTTTATTTTGAAAGTTTAGGTTTAGGAATTACTGGCTTTGTCAATGGATTTATTTTTTTACGACAATAAAGCATATTTTGATTTGATTTGATTTGAACCAAGATACTTAAAACATTTCACAATTTCTAGCTTTTCATTATTTATACTTATATTCAAATTATCAACCAACCTATTATTCTTATTTCTAATAAACATAACTTTGGTTTTATTTACATTTAACTGAAGGTAATTGTTGTTCAACCACCGAAACAAATTATCAAGTTCAGTATTTATTATGTCTGTTATTTCATCAATATTGACACCTGATATATAAAAAATATATGGAATATGCTATGCTACTGGAGGTGTTGTGCAAACTGCCTTTTTGAATCTGTATATGTTTATTTATTTATTTCTTTTATTTATTTATTTATTCAATGAGATATCAACAGCAAATTGCCAATTACAGATACCTGTATGCTTAAAATTAATCTTATAGAAAAGATATTAAACAGATACTCTAAATACAAATGTCAAAATACATACTACCTAACAAAAATTGGTTCTAAGAAGAAGACAAATAATTTAAGCTACATATGGATAAAATCGGATAACATGATAAAATAAAGACATTATAACTATTAAATATAAAATATACGATGCGGTAAGTACAAACAGGTATACAGACCACAGATTACAGCAAATTTAAAATAGAAAAACTAATAAAATTAACTATTGATAAAATTTATACTACGATCCGGCTACTACCCAAAATTAACTCTGGCGCAATTTTTTGTCAATTAAGTTTTTAAATGTTTTAAAGTTTATCAGGTCTATGTCTATGTCAGATGCATACAAATTAAAAAGATTGCAAAGACCATAAATGGGGGAGCTTTTAAATAGGTTGGTTCGTGGAAAAGCTAGGTAGAAGATATTTGTGGTTCTAGAATTACAACGATTTACAGAAAATGGTAATTGTTCAAGGATATCAGGGCAGTCGATGTCACCCTTCAGAATTTTAAACATAGTACATAAGAAAATCTTCACACGTCTCTTACCCAAAGATAGTCTATTGAAAACTCCTAAGAGGAAGCCATTATCACAACCCCTCTGAGGGTAGACTCCAAACCTTCTGTAATACATAGTCTTCAAAAATTTTCTTTGCACTCCCTCAATAATATTTATCCATACATTATATTGGGGCGACCATATCAAGCACCCATACTCCAAAATAGGTAACACCAGACTATCAAATAAATGAAGGCTTACATCAACCCTAAAAGTCTTAGTATTGCGTGCTATAAAATCTGCTATCCTCTGTGCGCTCTGTATCTTTGTTATAATGTGTTCAGAGAATGAAAGACTGCTGTCAAAAATGACTCCCAAGTCCTTCTGCTTACCAACTTTATCAAGTTTTTCGCCACTCATGGTATAATTAAAATCTATTGGTTTCTTATTAAGTGTAAAAGACATACAAGCACACTTGCTTGAATTTAACTTAAAACTATTTTCTTGACACCAATTAACAACATTAGAAAATTCGTTTTGTAACAATTTACAATCAATAGAAGAAATAATCTCCAAAAAAAGTTTAAAATCATCGGCAAACAAAAGAGCCATACAGCCCTTAACATTGCTGAGAATGCTGTTTATAGCAATTATAAAAAGTAATGGTCCCAAATTAGATCCCTGGGGTACTCCCGACGTACTCTGGTATAGAACAGACTTGCAGCCTTTAATCTCAACATATTGAAATCTGCCAGTTAAGTATGAACTTGTAAGTTTGATTAAAAATGGAGAAACTTCCATGTCGGACAAGGCATTTATTATCCCACAGTGACTAACTCTATCAAATGCCTTCTCCATGTCTGTATAAATTACGTCAACTTGAGTTTTGTTGTTTAAGGCATTATGGATATATTGTGAAAAACATGCCAGATTGGTAAATGTTGATTTTTTTGGCAAAAAACCATGCTGATTGGGGGAAAGTTTTGCTGCAACTTCGTTATATAAAATCTCTAAAATTATGACCGCAAATATTTTAGATACAGCCGAAGATACAGCGCACACAATAGATATAGGGCGGTAGTTTCTAATGTCTTGCCTTATGCCATTCTTATAAATTGGTATGACCTTGGCTACCTTCCATTTATCAGGATATATTGAGGTTTTGATGACCAAATTAAATGAAAACTGAAGGGGGCTCAATAAATGCTCAGCACAACCTTTAAAAATATAGGCCGGAACACCATCAGGTCCGATTGCCTTGTTAGGTTTAATTTTCTTCAAGGCATTTTCAATGTCCGCCTTTGTAATTAATTTTTCACAAAAATGAGACTGCACTTTAGTTGAGCCACAATTGACTTGTCCAATATCAACATAAACTGACTTAAAAAAAAGCCAGCAAACCCATCTGCCACGTTCTGAGTAAATATTATTATCTAAATTCATTTCATTAAGTAAGTCAGGACTATCCTTTAAACCCTTTAAGTATGACCAAAAGTATTTAGGATTGGAGACTAAGCTATTTTCAACGTCAATCAAATATTTTTTGTGGGCTAATTGAATTTTATTTTTAATTGTTGTTCTTAAGTTAGTATATTTAGTTTTCCAATAAAGAGATTTAGTTTTGTTTGATTTTATTCGACATTTATGTTTTTCTTTTAGTAATTTTATTATTTCAATATTGAACCATATTGGATACTTTTTGTCACCTTGTGTTGATTTGGGAACACATTTTACAAAAATGCTCTCCAAAGTCCTATAAAAAGTTTCCAAAGCCTTATTAACATCTTTAATACCATAAAGGAAATCCCAGTTCTGATTTCGAAAAAGATTGTACATACTATAAAAGTTTGCTTTTCTGAAATTAAATTTGGTTGAGGGCTGAATTTTACAAAATTTGGCAGGAGATCCTGTCAGCAAATCCACACTCAAACAAGGATGGTGCCTGGTGCCTGACTATTGGTTCCAGAAAATCACCCGTAGACTCAACACAAACATTATCGAAGGAGGCAAGTACAAGGTCCAAGATAACATTATTCTGATTTCTAATTTGGTTTACTTGTTGACAGTGATTAAAAGCAAGAAATGCCCTTAGGTCATTTACTATACTATTGCATGAAAGAGTGTTTACATATCCAGGAATATTAAAATCACCTATAACAATAACTTCAGAATTATCTATTTTAATTAGATTATTTTCAATTTTTTCATAAAACCTTTCATAAACCTCCCTAGGACTATTTGGCACAATATAGATCAAAACCACGAACAAAATTTGATTACCTTTCAGTTTAATCTGGATACATAGTGCCTCCTGTTCATCATCAAACATTCTAACTTCAGAGACATCGTAGATATTCTTTACCGCCAAGAAGACACCACCACCCTGAAATTTACTGGTAAGAGAACCATTCCTATCTTTTCTAAATGTAATTCTATTACAGAAGCAAAATTCTGCAGTATTTATGGAATCATTTAACCAAGTTTCACCTAAATCAATAATATCATAATTATTGTTATTTAGAATATTGTACTTAAGACTATCTAATTTAGTTTTTACTCCCCCACAGTTCTGATAAAATATAGTTAAGTTTAGGTTATTATTGGGACTTGTTCTGCTTGATGAAAATTTTGTACACCGGGAGATCTCTCATTGGAAGAATGGTTATTAATAAACTGTGAGTTATTTGATATGCATGAGAAATCACCTATTGATGTGCTGCTATTGAAACTCTGAGAATAATTAGTTGAAAGATTACTGATATTTTCATCAAGCTTGATATAAGTTAGATTTTTAATGTTAGAAAAATTGACCAGACTACAGATTTTTTCAGAAATTTTAAAATTAGTATTCTTTCTTCCTCTGTTATCGTAGATATCAACAAAATTTAATTTATTTGGAGTACATTTGTCAAAATTGTAAATCAAGTTCCTAAGTCTAATATTAAATGCCATACAATTGTTTGGACATTTTAAACAAATTGGGGGTGACAAAATTATTACATTGGTATGGGTACATTCTTTTAGGCATTTTAATATGGACGAATAATTGGGAGCTACGTTTCTAAGAGAATAATCATTGTAGCTGGCCATAATCACTACATGGTCATTAGAGTCAAAATTATTTGTTAAGGCACTCACATTCTCGGTCACTGCTTCGAAACATGCATATGGTTTCATAACACTCTGTACACTGAATTTGGTTGGATCAAGCAAATATCTTAACTTTGAATCCAGTCCTCTACCCATTTGATCGCATAACAATAGGAGTTTGCTTGCTGGTTTTGCAAATGGTTTTTCATTTTTAGCAGTATCCAGTTCAATTTTTTCATTGTGCAGAGTATTATTTTGAGTAGCTGCTATTTTGTCTGTTTGAATAGCTGCATCAGAGCATGAAAAATTTGATTTGTCATTGACCTTTTTCCTTAAATTCATTGAGACCTGAACATATGTGTTGCAGAAGAGAGCACTTAAAAATGTATGTAGAGTCAAAAGGGGATGTTCATGCAGACCCGAGTGCAGACCTCTATTTCTGCAGCATAAAATTTTAACCTTACGCTGTATAGTCTGGCTAGCCAAATGGCGAATTGCAATAGAATTTGCTGCTTTGCCAAACTTGACGGAAACAATAAAAAACAAGTTGGTGACATATTTTTTTTTGCAATATGGGCATAATGTGTACCTAGTATTTCGAAATAGAAAAAAATCCGGTAACATTACGAAATGATGGATGTAGAGGCGTGATTATTCAGAGGCATGATTTTATTGGTTAGAGCCTGAACGACAGCACAGTGGCGTGGTTATTGGCGAAACTAAAGAACTTCTTTTTCTAATAATTTTATTGGTTTAATTCTTAATTCCTTGCTGTTTTTGGTGCCACTGAACCCAAAGACTAGTTTTCATTAGGCGGTGTTAGTTGAGGTGTCAGGTTACACCCGACTTTTCTTCCCCTTCTTTCCCCTTTCGCCTCTATGAAGTTACCACTTGCCAGACTATATATTCATTCTTGAAAGTGTACAGTGGAAATCATTGCAATTGGCACACACTATGTAAATATCCCTCGTAATGTGTCAAATCTGACACACAGTAATAGCAAAATGCTGCACTAAATAGATTTATTGGTTAGAATTTTGACTTAATACGGGGGATTTTAAAGAGTGTGTGCCAATTGCAATGATTCCGACTGTACGTGTTGTCTTATAAATTTAATCAGGAGCTGGATAGACAAGTGCAGAATTGAGCTCAACGCCAACAAGTGCTACACTTGCCCATTCCACATTTGACATTAGTAAAGAACTCATTTTTCTGTAGGACATAGACGAGGGCATAGGTATTATACTTTGGACACATTTTTTGCAAAATCTTGAAATAAATAGCATTATGGTCCAAGGCGGACAAAACTTTTATTTCATTTTATTTGTTTCACTGTACTTTATTATTATTATGATACAATAGTAAGCAGTTTACACTGATGAAACTATTGGATTACTCGTAAGTTTATCGTCGTGTTTTTGGTAAGAACTTATTGTCCATAATGAATATCCACATGGAGTAATGCACTCATATCGGTGTCGACCTTATTCTTGAAAGAATTCAGACTCTGGGCGGTGACTGTAGAATTTGACAGGCTGTTCCATGGGTAGACAATTCGATTTGCTATGAAGTTTCTTCTTGGAAGCTTGGCGGTTTTTTCCTTGCACAACTTCAAAGTATGACCTCGTAGATGGGGGTTGTTATTGAAGGTGAAGATGTCAAGGTTACAGGAGTAGCCATTTCGAATAATCTTGTATGTCTCGATCAGATCTCCTCTCTGACGCCTTTCCCTCAAAGAAGTGAGTCCCAGGGTGGATAGTCGAGTAAGGTAATCTTCATTACGGAGTGATGGTGGAATTTTTGTTACTCGTCTCTGCACTCGCTCTAGTATCTCGATATCCTTTATGAAGTACGGATTCCAAACTGAGTGGGCGTATTCTAGTTTTGGACGTATGAAAGATTTATAGTTTCATAATGGTGTTGCACGACTGGTCTTCAAAGGCCTTTTTCACAAGGTATATGTATGAGTTGGATTTTTTGGCAATTTTTGATATGTGCATCTCCCATTTCAGATTATAGGTTACTATGACACCTAGATCCAATTGCTCCCTCACATGCTTCAGCTCGACATTGTTTATTTTGTAGGCATACTCAGTGGTGTTGGTTCCAATGCTCAAGATAGTACATTTTTCTTCGTTTAGCCTCATTTTCCACGTATTGGACCACACTTCTATAGCTCTGAGATCTTCTTGCAATTTCTTGTGTTCTGCGGCCTTTGCATACAATTTCGTGTCGTCGGCAAAAAGTAGAACCCTGGTTTGGATATTAGATGTCATATCGCTGACATACAATAAAAAAAGTAGAGGACCCAGTACTGATCCCTGAGGCACCCCACTCTGCACTTTTCTTCTGTCTGAAAAGATTGCATTTATTCTTACTTGGTAGCATCGGTTTAATAGAAAATTTGATACAAATTGTAATAGGTTCCCAGCAATGCCAAAGTGATGTATTTTGTGCAGGAGATAACTGTGACACACTTTATCGAACGCCTTCTCAAAGTCGAGATATATCACATCCACTTGCTCGTTATTGTCAAAGTCCCTTGTCCAATCGTCCAAGCATAGTGTAAGGTTGGTTGTTGTAGAACGCCCTGGAAGAAAACCATGTTGGTGCTTCAGTAATGGATTTTGCTCCAGTACAAATGGGGTTAACTGTTTCACCACAATTTTTTCCATACACTTGCATAGATTGCACGTCAAACTTATTGGACGATAGTTCGATGGAGCGGTTTTGTCTCCTTTTTTGTATATTGGAATCACAAACGATGTTGACCAAGTCTCAGGAAAGTTGTGAGCTTCAAAAATACTTTTCATGAGATCAGACAAGGGTTGGCTCAGGATGGCTGCACAATTTTGCAGGAACACTGCTGGAATTCCATCAGGGCCTGGGCTGGAATCCGTCTTCAACGATTTTATTGCTTCATACACCTTATCAGGAGATAAGTCAATATTTGACATCTTTGAAGTTGCACGTAGGTATTCCGGAATTAGTGGCATTTCGTTTTGATTTCCTTTGGTGAATACCTTTTCAAATTGGTTTGCAAAGCATTCCGCTACATCAAAGTCGTCAGTCAAAAGTTCATCCGCTTCATTCTTTAATGTTATTGTTGAAACTTTGGTTGATAGTGTTTTATTCACATACTTGAAAAATATTTTATCTGAGCTCTGAGAAGCAATGTTGCATTCATAGTCTTTTCTTGACTTTCTAATTACACTTGTTAGGTAGTTGTTTTGTTCGCGATATTTTTTGTAATTGTCATCTGTAGCTGATTTTTTGTATTTGTCCCATAGACCTCGTTTCTTTTCTATTTGTTTAAATATGAACTGGTTTAGCCACGGTTTCTGTGGGTTTGTTTTACCTGGTTTCAAAGGAATGAACTTGTCTATAGCACTGCTTAAGACTGACATGCACGTGTGGAACACATCACCCGAGGCAGCAAAATTTTGCTCAGCCAGAAAACTATTGATTTTCTCATAGTCGGCACTGAAGAAGTTGCGTTTCAATACAGTTTTCGTTGGACGCAGTTCACACTTTAGTTGACTTTTTCCAATGATGACGACATGGTCGCTCTTTCCTATGGGTGGCTCGGGTTCCAAGTTATATAGCAGTTTCTTATCATTGGTGAAGACTAGATCAAGTAGTGAAACTTGGTCATTTCGGAAACGTGTTGGGAAATCAACCATTTGGTAAGCATTAGTTTCAAGATAGTTGTCCAAAAAAAGTCGATTTTGTTTGTCTGGGTTGGACAGATTAAGATTCTTCCAATCTATATACCGATAGTTGAAATCCCCCATAATATAAACGGGCATATCCAATGAACAGGCACGCTTAATTGAGTTGATCATAATATTATCATTTTCCTCACTAGAATAATCCGTTCTGTATATACAAGAGACCAGAAATTTGATGTTACAGACCTTTATATCAATCCACAATGACTGTATTGGGGCTAATGTATTAAATTGATTGTTTACTGTAGAATATACTTTGTGTCCATTCAGCTCATCCTTAACCAAAACACACACTCCACCTCCAGTTTGATTTTCTCTGTCTTGGCGGAATACACTATACCCATCAATCCCAACAATACTATCAACAATGTTCTCATTAAGCCAAGTCTCTGTTACTAAGATGCATGCAGGATTATGTTTCTGTATTGACACTGACCATTCATCTATTTTATTGGCAATAGATTGCAAGTTACTGTACCAAAAAGTGATTTCAATCTCCAAACTGCTACCCTGATTGTTGCTTATTAGTTTTTTGGACCTTGCTTGATCTTTATAATTTTTGGAATAGAGTTATGGTATTTAATTTTAAGGTTGGACTCACCGCTTTCCTTTCGGGCTTTTAGTTCGGCTACAACTTCCTTCAAGTACTTCTGTTGAAGGAGAGTTAGATCGCCCTTGATATATATTCCTTTCGATTCATCTAGTTTGCTTTTGCTCTTTAAAATTTTTAAAGCATCTTCCTTTGTTTCAAACATAACCTTTATAGGTCTAACCTTATTTAAATCATATCCTCCCAATCTGTACAATTTGATATTTTCAGTGGGTACGGATTCATCTAGTGAGTTTAGTATTGATACGGCCCCCTCCTTCTCTTTTATATTCCGTTCTTCCTTGTTCAGATTTTTTATTTCAGGAACCCCAAATACAATTATATTCAAGGACCGTTTCGCTCTTTCACTGATTTCATCAATTGCTGGAACCAAGTTTTCTTTGTCTTGGGATTTAAAATCCTCAACCTTTTTTTCGAGTTTATTAACACTTGTTCTTATCAATTCGGCTTCATTTATTATTTTGGTAACCTCAGCATATGTGCTCTTTGCTTTATTCAAGTTTTCTTTAATTTCATTAACTTCAGATTGAAGTTTTTTGAACTCATCCTTCAGCAGTGGAACCTCCTTAATCGATTCCTTCACTTCAACCTTAAGCAGAGGAAGTTGTTTGATGGAGTCCATACAATCCGCACAAAAAAACGGGAGAGTGCGCTTGGCAACCTGGATCAATGCACGTACATCTGTTGTTGAGAAGTTAGCACATCTTTTACACCAGACATCCTTGCACGCATCGCACGGAAACCCAAAAAGTTCGCTTTTGCTTTCCTTAAATATGCAATCCTCATGACACTTTGAACAAGTTCCGGACATGATATGGATAGTGACTGTGATTATGCCATACTTGTTGGTGCTCAATTTGGCTTTAAGCTGGATATAATTAAATAGGTTTTAGTCAACCATCCAAGGACTAGAGGTGGGCCAATCTGCGATTTTAATGGAACTGTGACAAGACGTGACTGCTCCAGTCGTGTCACTGTGACAAATAGCAGTGATTTTTTGGAGCAGTTTTACCTTGGTTGACGGCCGTACTGCTAATATTATGGTAATGCTACGTCGCAACATGGCATAATCACAGTCATCAGTCACGGCCGAGAAAGATGTTCCAGTTTCTGGCCTGTCCTCTGCAGTAGCAGTTTCTATTTGGCGTGACTGCAATGCGATTTTTAATATTATATTATTTCGTTCGCATCACTTAGCTCAAGTTTTGTCCGCGCTGCATCGGTCGGAGCTTGAAGCAGGCAGTGACAAAATGTCACTGCTACTTGACTGGGACTGGAGCAGGCCGTGACTGTGACAGACGAGTAGCAGTGACAAAGTCACAGTTCGTGAAATCGCAACCCACCTCTACCAAGGACCTTTTTTTTCAGTTATACATGTAAACCCCATACTTTGTGAGTGGCTTGCTTACATCAAGTCCTACAACTTTTCCTCTACGACTTTTCTCGGAAATGGCACGTATGCGCGCAGGCGACTCGCAAACATTTTAGGGGTATCGGACTCCCCCAATTTGCAATTATTTTTGTCGGCCAAGTTGATTTCCGTGATTTAGAAATAAAAATCAAACATTATTCGTGAAATTAGATTTTCATGTATCAAGAAACATAACCACGTCAGATCGACATTTTGGGGGTATCGGACTCCCCCAATTTGCCATTATTTTTGTCGGCCAAGTTGATTTCCGTGATTTAGACATAAAAATCAAACAGTATTCGTAAAATTAGATTTACCTACATGTATCAGGAAACATAGCTACGTCAGATCGACATGTTTGCGAGTCGCCTGCGCGCATACGTGCCATTTCCGAGAAAAGTCGTAGAGGAAAAGTTGTAGGACTTGATGTAAGCAAGCCACTCACAAAGTATGGGGTTTACATGTATAACTGAAAAAAAAGGTCCTTGGATGGTTGACTATTTGTTTTATTTTTCAACTAGTGATATAGGTATAGTTTGGCAAGTGGTAACTTGGTAGAGACGAAAGGGGGAAGAAAACTAGGGCGTAACCTAAAAATATCCACTGACACCTCAACTGACACCGCCTGATGACAGCCATGGCTTTCGGTTCAGTGGAACCGGAAACACCAAGCAAATAAACCAATTAAATTATTAGAAAAAAATTCTCTAGTTTTGCCAATATCCACGCCACTGCGTGCTGTCGTTCAGACTCTAACCAATAGAATCATGCCTCTGAATAATCACCCCTCTCTACATCCATCATTTCGCAATGTTGCCGGATTTTTTTCTATTTCGAAATACTACACATGCCCATACAGCAAAAAAAATATGTCACCAACTTGTTTATCATTGTTTCTGTCAAGTTTGGCAAAGCAGCAAATTCTTTTGGAGTTCGCCCTTTGGCTAGCCAGACTATATGCATGTGCAAATAATTTTAAGCATGGCTTTGTGAACTACTAATGTATTTAAACGAATAAAGCTACTTTTGAATTTTAATTTTTAGTTTTTTTTGGATTGGGCTCCTGTCTTTCATTGTTATTTGGTTTAGCTATTTGTCGAACTGGGCGGTCGCCCCCCCAGGGTCATTATTTTTTTGATGGGATTTGAATTTAGGGTTGGGTAAATTGCCAATACAACAGAGGATTGCAAATATAAAAAAGGTAAATTGGTTAGTAATTTCTCACCACTTCTTTGTAGTCTGTGGCACCACACCAGTCGGCAATTCAAGCGCCTGTTGCTTCCACCAAGGATTTCAGATTTCACAGAACTGAATTCTATTCTGATTTTTGAATTTACACAGAAACTGAAAAAACAAACGTTTACGTTTTTTAACGAATTTTATGTTTTGAACGAATTTATGTTTTGACTTTTGACATTTTAATTCGAAAACTTTTGACCAATATAACGTCAAGGGTGCGTTCGAAATCGCACTAGGTGTGACACCGAGTGCACACGCCATAAATTATTCATGGCTGGTGTGACGCCCAAGGTGATTTCTACAGTGATTTCAACAATGACTCTATTACCCACAGTGGCGACATATTGAAAACGCCGCCATCTTGTTCCCACCTATTGCCTATTTCGAAAAGTAATATATGGGATTTAGGTGAACATCCATCATAAAACATGGAAAACAACGTATTTGATGAACCTCATAATAGTCGTCAAATACGGCGATTTGCTTGACTTTGACAAAAAAAAAGAAGACTTTTCAGTTTTTCTGAGGTGCTTTCCAGTAACCCATTTGAGTTACTCCTGAGTAGCAGGCGTGCTCCACAATTACTGGTTTTTCACTCCAAATCGAGTTTCACTCCACTCCAACGACTCCACCTCATGGTCCTCATGTCATGTTTTGTGCTTTGTTTATGTTTTCTCTTTCGAGGTTATGGTTATTTCAAAATTTAAGTACTAAAGAATGGTATTCCTCAATGTATTCCTTCGTTCGTAGCTCAATTTTTAATTAAATAATAAGTAAAAAAATGCTCACCTGTAATCAAAAAGGCTTTTACGATTTAAATGTGCATGAAAAATGTTTTCAAAATAACTTGAGGCGAACATTGGAAACTCTGTATTCCCTAGGTGAGTGAGTTCAGCCTTCATGTGATAACTGCTTGCAAGCTGATTATTGATACTTTTTTGTGGACAAATCTGGCAAAAATCCATAAAATGTCTCTTGAACTGAATTAAAGTAGTAATTTCTTTGTTTTAGGCTATCGCACTGTAGCAGTCAACCAATTAATAGATGTAGACTCGATCCCAGAGACTAAAAAGAAGAAGAAAAAGGGTGAACCTCGAGAAACTTTAGATTGTTTACCAGAACCTTTCGATCTTAACCCAATCAAAGAAACAGCAGCAGCATTAAATTATGAAAGTTTAACTTTTCTAAACAGATTAACTTTGAAATTTTCAAGTCAAGATACTCTTCACAAGTATCTCAAATCAATCAATTTTAAAAAATATGATTTATTTGGAGTGATACCAGTCACAAGGGAAGCCTTAACATTTGTATGTAGCAGCTTGGAAGCTGATATTCTAAGTTTCGATGTGGAAACTAGATTAAATTTAAGACTACAAAGAAAGTAAGATGATACTACAAATTTTAGTTATTTTACCATTGCTTTAATTGAAATTAACATTTAATTATTTCATAGATTATTTACTCAACTAGTGGACAGAAATTACCATTTAGAACTAACTTATGGCCCAGCCATAGAAGATTCTACAAAGAGAAAAAATCTAATTAACATCTCTCATCTGTTTCACACTTATGGCAAATCAAAAAACATTATTTTTTCAAGTGGTGCAGAGTTTTACATGCACATCAGAAATCCTTACGACGTTATCAGTTTGGGATTCTTATTTGGCCTAAACGAGTTACAATCGAAAAACTCTGTTATGAATTTGCCAAGGTAATTATTGCCCATCAAGAAGATTCTTTTTTTTTTAAATTATGTATTTCCAGGAAGGTAATTGTTAACGCAACCGGACGGCGTCATGGAAAATCTGTTATGCTAGTTGAAAATATGGACACGATTGTTGAAGAATCCGTTTTGGTTGTTTCTGATGAAGAAAGTGAAGACGAAGACATGGACACAGATGAACCACTGCAGAAAAAATCGAAACAATGAAACTCTTGAATAATAAAAATGAGTCAAATAATGTTTTAATGTTTATTTTTATAAGGGCCAAATTATGGACTGACTGGTAAACATCTGGTTGTTACCTAGCAGGTACTTTCTATGCACTAGAGAATAGAAAGTACCTGCTAGGTAACAACCAGACACTTACCAGTTGGTCCATAATTTGGCCCTAAGTGAAAAGAGGATAATATAGGAACAAAAATGTTGGAACCATGAAAAAAATTGACAATTTAATGTGAACACCGTGGTGTTGCAGTTGTTGCACTGAGTTTTTGATGGTAGGTGTTCCACTCTAGAGCGACTCTTTTTTGCCAGAAGAATTCGCTACTAGGATTGATTGGATCGACATAACCTTAAAAAAACAAACAAATGTCAATAAAAGTCAAAACAAATCATCCAGCCATTCAGGCAAAAATTTTAAAATGGATAATGATGATACCGAAAGCACAGCAACATCTATAGACGAAAATACCGAAAACTTTTGCGAAAATCCAACCAGAGACACGATAGCCGAAGGGTTGATGGGCCTTATCAAGCCCACAGTTGATCAATTGGACGAAAGAGTAAGAGCGACCAGGTAAATTTCACACATTTGTCCTACTCTTATAATAATCCATTTCATATTTAGAATTTCCCAGTTAGAACTGAAACAGTGTATTGAGAGCCTCAGCGAGGAACTGAAAAAGGTATCTGAAGCCCAGCAACATTCCATAGATTTAGAAATTTATTTGAAGAAGTTAATTAATGCTAAACAAAGAGTCACAGTTTTATCAAATATATTACAGGTAAGAAACAAATACAATTGAACTAATTAAATGAACATCTTTCTTCATTTAGAATGCACAGGAACGACTAAATAAAGTTCACATGTCCATCGACAAAGAAACTGTAAAGAGAAAAGTACTTTTGAATAATACAGTTGAAGATCCTGAATCACCAAAACAATGACATTATCAACGCCCATTTACGACCTTAAAGAATATCCTAACGTATATGAACCTAGTGAAGATACTCATTTATTCCTAGATGCCCTAGAAAAAGACCAACATTTTTTTATTAAAAGAAATCCCACATTAGCTTGTGAAATAGGCAGTGGAAGTGGTATTCTTATAACGGCTCTAGCAACAATCCTAAAAAAATCTTGCTCTTATTTTAGTACAGATGTCAATATTAGTGCTTGTGAGGCTACCAAAAAAACTGCTTCAATGAATAGTGTCAATGTAGAACCAATTGGCATGAACTTGAATTCGTTTTTCAAATGTTGTTTCGATGTAATCCTATTTAATCCTCCTTATGTTGTTACTGAAAATGAGGAAATTCATGGTAGAGGATTGAATAGGGCTTGGGCAGGTGGCAGTAACGGACGTTTGATTATAAATGATTTCTTGAAAATTTTGCCTGATATTTTAAGTTCAAAGGGGGTGTGCTATTTATTGTTGTTGAGAGAGAACAAAATTGAAGAGATTGTAGATATTTTGGCAAAAATTGGATTGAAGAATGAAATTGTTTTGGAAAGGAAAATTCCAGGAGAATATTTGTATGTTTATAAGTTTTTTTGGTAGACATTTATCTTGCTAATTAAACATTCTTTATCCTTATATACTTGTTTTGTCTGTTTCTCTGCATTTGGTAACAGATTTTGGCAGTATTCGTTCTTCTTTGGCTTCTGTCCAACCAGGGATGCAGAGCTGGGCAAGCTACTTGGAAAAAGTAGCTAGCTACAAGCTACAAGCTACTTTATATTAGTGCTAAGTTACTCAGTAGCTCAACTACCTCTTTGAAAAAGTAGCTAAGCTATTAGCAACTTAACTACATTTTGAATTAGTGGAAGCTACTATTTAAGCTACTTTTATCAATGTACATACATGCCTAACCTAATTTAATTTCATAATATCATCATACGAAAATAACATATTAACTTTCTCTAAGAAGTAGTATCCATATTTTTGTCAAAAACCACTGGACATTAATTTATTAGGTTCACTTTGATCACAGTGATCTGCGAATGCGAGAATAAAATAGGACACATAAAACATGGGTACCTACAGAGATAACTAGAAACTAGTCTAAGCAAGGCAGGATAAGAATTTTCCGGAAAATGATAATTGTAGCTTGAGCAATTAAAGTATAAAGTTACTTTTATCGAGCGGTAAATTTAAACGCGGGAGATAGGTTGGTGGAAACGTGCCTTTATAAGGGGAAAACTGTTTATTTTTGAAAACAATGTCGAATGGATGCCATTTTATTATAGGTATAGGTAGTTATTTTATTTTTGAACTAGAAGAGTCCGCTGCGCATAAAACGTAATAAGTATTTTGGGCGTTGAGTATCGTTAACCACACCCTCGCGCGGTAAATGATACTTTCCGCCATTAATACCTAAATAAAATAACTAGTAACTATCTACCAAAAGAGGCTTAAGTAGCTTGTTTTAGTAGCTAGCTACTTTTCACAGTAGCTTATGAATACTTGAAACGCATTACCAAAAGCTACAGCTACAAGCTACTTTTTTTTCAAAGTAGCTTGAATAAGTTATTAGCTACCAAAAAAGTAGCTAAGCTAGTAGCTTAACTACTAGCCTAGCTACTGCCCAGCTCTGCAGGGATGGCAAACAATTTTCTCTACTTTGGCTTTTGGATTGATATTTCCATATAAATTAACACAAATAACCATCCATACAAAAGTCCTACCGAAATATTTAAGATAAAGAAAATATTACAAAAATATATAAAAGGCCACAAGAGCTAATAATAGGACACTTGGATCAAAAGTGGATTTTTTTTTATTTTTTTATTTTTTTTTTTATTATTTTTTTTTTTGCTGCCTTTTTTTACTCCCAAAAATTTTCTGATACAACAAAAGTCTCCGTTGGTTTTACCCTGCGTTGGTAAGGTGAAAAATTATATCAAATATGGTAAGGTGGGGTATGAGATACCCCATTTTCTTTTTATAGAAACCTGGAAAATATGGATATTTTCGTAAAGTTATATGTTTTCATTTGTTGTTTTGATGCTAAATAACTGAAAATTTTTCACAAAATATTCATAAATAAATAGTCAAGAACCATTGTTAAAACGGTTTCATTAACTGAAAAAAAAAATACAAACGAAGGTGACACTCCCAGGAAAAGAAAATAAACCAAAATTCTCACTTAAAACTTAAATTGGCGTGAAGTTGATAGTACAAATTAACAAAAATATATAGTGGTGCACGAAATGTTTCATCAAATCAAATCAAAATAAGCTTTATTGTCTAAAAAATATCATTGTTTTTCATTGACAAAGCAAAATTCTTATTACTAATTAATTCTAAGTAAATTAAGTTAAATTTTTACCACAATTATGAACCTTAAAAAAGACAAAAATCATGAATCAAATCACTAGTTCAAACTATAAACTTATGGTGCAAATTAGGTTAATAAACATAAATAAGAACTTTACAAGAAAAAAAAAAAAAACAGAATAAATATAAATAAATAAATAAAATTTAACTTTTTAGTAGTCAGTATAAAAATAAAATAAAAAACAAACGATATAAAAAACAAACAACAAAGAGTAAAACATCTATGTGGTAAAAGTAAAAAACAAACTATAATTTGTGTGACTGTTTTGTGAAGGGAAGGCGCACTCAGCGCATTGTATTCTATAACTCAACATGTACCAAAACCTATAAAAATTATACCCTATTTTCCAATTGGATCCTCTACCTAACACACATGATCATAAAATTCCTTAAGACTATAAAAAGCTTTAGTGACTAGATGTTGCCTGACTAATGAGCGAAATATATCATATCTGTTACAGTTCTTTATTTGTTGAGGTAGATGATTAAAAAATTTTATACTTTCGTATATAACTGAATTTTTTGTAAGAGTAAATCTAGGTACTGGCAAAGGCAAATTATCCTGACGCAGGTTATAGTTAGTCGTTTGAACGAAACCAGAGAATTTTTTAAAAATGAGACTCACAGATTCTAAAATAATTTGTGTGTTTTCTTGTCTATCCAATGTCTTACATTCATCAAAATTTGGTTTCCATGTTCCATGCATATGAACCCCGTGCACAAAAAACAAGTATAAAATGACTTTCTGTCTTTTCATCTTGGACAAACGTAACACCTCTTGCTAAATCTTAGCCCTTTTAGAGGTCTTCCTATGGCTTCTCGAATTTCGACTTCATTGAGATCCACTATTTTTCAACGTAGCGCTAGACCAGTTCAGGGATTCTGTAAGCGATTCACTCGATATGACTTTACTAGCGCTAGCGCCATCTACAAGTATTAGTGAAGTTATTCCATCTTGATCAAGCCAAAACAAAAAATATCTCCCTAAAAATAAATAAAAACACCTACCTTGATGACCTATGACAGCAGCAGTAAAAATCACAAATTCCGTAAGGTGGGGTATGACATACCCAAGAGCACTTTACCGGTCCCGTAGAAAGTACAACGCGACTGGAAGAGTCTAGGAATGAGCGCACGTAACGGAGGAATGTTTTTTTGGAAGGTACTCCAAAGATGAAGCCATCAATATTACTATATTTAAAGTTACAGACGCGTAAATTCAGCTGGGGTATATGGTACCCCACATTACCAACGCAGGGTTGAAGCAGCCTGGAAAAAGTCACTTGAAAGTCCCCCAAAAAAATCAAATTTTGCATGTTATCATTGCTCCTTTCAAGGAAATTCTGTAAGATCATTATTATTTCATTTAGTTAATGTCAACCGAGAATTGTGTAGTTATTCTGCAAGTATTGTGACAGAATGGCTATTTATAAAATGTTCAAAATGTAAGAATTTTAAAGTATCAAGAAAAATGTTATTGAAACTGAAACATCAGCAAGGAAAACATTAGAAGAAAACGATCCACAAAGTTGCAATGATTCTTCAGATTGACAACATATTTGCAATATCTGTTCATTATTTGAGACTACAGATAAAATATTATTTAACGGGCATTTAGTGATGCATCTTCAGTCAAATAACGGTGAAGTTCAAGGTTGGGCTTGAGGGAGAACGCAGAAAGGGGGGAGTCAAAGAGAAAAAATAAATTGCACAATTGTGAACTTTGTTCCCATTAAAATCGGGTAAAATGTAGCAAATTGGGTTAAAAGCATGAAACTTGTCATAGTTATAAAAAAAGTCACAAAATAGGGTTTAAACCCTCCTAAGGGATGAAATTTGAGGTGCTGCGGGTCATATCACTTTAAATGGTCTAAAAACCCCTCTGACACGTCTCACGTTAACAAGCACAATGATGGAGGTATGATAGTTATAAAATTTAACTACCTATTGCGATTTTAAGGGATTCATAACCACTGTTGGTCAACATATAAAGGCAAAGCATGAAGTTATATGTACTTACAACAAGTGCTCTTACACTACTACTGAAGATACAAAGAAACATAGTAATCGTCTCAGTTTTGCACACTAGTGGAGACTCTTATTTTTAAGTGAAGCGAAGGTACAATCAAAATGTTTTACAGCTGATTTAGAGCTTGGATATTTCTGATGGAATTATCGTAGCTTTAGTTCCATCAAAAATAAAATTTAGAACACCAGAAAATATTTCTATCACAAATCATTTTTTCGAAATTTCAAGAAAATTCAGCAGAAATAAATCCGAATTTCAGTAGAGATCCAGAAAACACGTCATTCATCATTACCTGTTGGAATGTTGCGTGGACATTTTTTAATCCAAAGGGCATTCGGATGATTCCGTAATGTCCGTTTTCTACACTGAAAGATATTTGGGATGGCTTAATTAGAATTTTTTTGCTTCATATTGACTCTAGAAATTGCATATTGAGTAACTCAGGGGCGTGAAAGAGTTTCATAGGTATTTATAGCTTCCAACGACAAAGGCTTTGGAAGGGGACAGTTTTGGATGGCTTCTGCCTTCTCGAAATTCTGAAGACTGATAATTAATGCTTTTAACTTTTCAAAGCAGTTCTCAACTTCCAGAGACAAATAAAAATTGAGAAAAACTGCCATATATATTCAAGAAGAGCTCCTGCGCCTTTTGAGGACTGCAGCAGAATTTACTGATTATCTGCTTCATTTTGTTCTTGGAAAGTTAGTTTTGAATTTTCAGTTTATAGCTTCAAAGACTTTGAAAAAATGCTATTCCGTATAGCTTGATCAGTTCAAATCTTAACCAAATGTTTCAAAAAGAGGACAAATAAAAAACCGTTTTTTGAAAAGATTGCGTTTACAGAGAGAAAATTGAAATAAATTTGTGAGACCAAACTCAAAATAAAATTTACTATCCACTCTGGATTTTTGCCAACCCTGTGTCCAACATTTGTGCTTGATTTTTTTTGGTAATCTATTTTCATGATCATGTTTTATAGCTTGTTTTTGGTGATTCTTATCTAAATCCCAAATATTGATGTGCTAAAGATATTCCTCATCGAACCAGACATTGTCAAGTCTGCCGTTCACTGAAAGAAGCGTAGCGGAGTTTGGTGGAGCAGCCAAGTGTGAGGTGCATGTGTTTCTAATAACTATTACAACTAGGTACACTTTACTTACATATTAGAATAGAAATTATTGTTTTCATATATATATTTTTTTATTTGAATTAAAATACATAGTACAAACAATTACACTATATAATATATTTTATTTTATTTAACCGTACACCACATTATAATTAACAAAAAAATTATTCAGTTTCTAGCCCTTTGAGTTACTAAACTCAGCTACTGTCAAGTTATAGCTTATCAGAGGAATAAAAATTCTCTAACTGTTTATGTACAAATATCAAAGGACATAGTCTTGCACGCATTAAAGCTCAAATAAACAAGAAACCTAAATTTTATAAAATAATACCTAGTTTTCATCTAGCTTCAAAAGGTGTTTTACTCAAATCGTTTTCTCTGCCCAAGCCTTCTTGGCCATCGCAGAGAGTGAGGCTGCTCTTTGACAGAAACCAATACAATTGTTCCACTGCTCAACTAAGCTGAGTTGGGCAAGCGTAATCTGCGAGCACAGCTTGCACATTGGAACCTAAACTTACATTAGCTTCTGGGTAAATACAAAACTTAACATACAATACAAAATCCTAACAATATAGAATGCTTCATTTAGGCTTTAAAATTATTTTGGTATTTTTTGATAGTTACGCCATTAGGCCAATTACCGAGTAGCTCAAATTCATTCAATATGGAGTTGTCAACGAGCACCTTAAAACAAGGCAACTTTCCGTCTTTGTACAAAGGCAAAGACTGTACTGTGAATTGGTTTTTTGGAAATTTTACTTTCAAGTAAGAGCTCAAGTCGGATTCGGTTGTACCTATTTTAAGTTTGCCAACATACATCCAAGTGTTTTGACGATTATTAGAACTACTGGTTTGCTGTTTTCTAAATTTTTTGTTTCTATTTTTCTGCTTATTATCATTATTGCCATTGTTGGAATTCTTGTTAGCAGAATTTGAATTCATTCTTCTGGAATCAGTAGGTCCAGTTTTTTCAATGTGGATCTTGAAATTGCCATTGCTAGGCATTTTCACCATGCAAAATGTATTATCATTGTTTTTTGGCTTATTAGTTTTAGGTTTATCTACTACGACAAACTTCTTATCATTTTGTTTTGTTGAGGAATTATTAGAATTATTACTGGCTCGATTATATGAAGAGTTTTTTTGAGTTTTTGATGGAACAGGCCCAGTATACCTAAAAAATAAAACATTTATCATTTTTGCTGAAATAAAATAAAGAAACCAAAAGCAACATAAGCCAGCTTGTTCCAAAAATAAATGATACTAACCCTGTATTTCCATTGTTATTAAAATGATCGGTAGAAGGGCCAAATGAGTTCTGTGGTGGTGGTCTATAGTTTGGATTGGCACTCGAGTTTCCTGCACCCCGATTTATGGACACATCAACTGGCATATGATTAATGTGTCCTTGTATGTTAACATTTCCAGGATTTTCAGTTCTTGGACTTGATTGCCGTTGATTTAAGCTTATAACAGCTTCTGCCACAGTTTTAAACACTGCGTTCCACATTTTAGCTTGAAAAAACTTGATTTTATCTTTTTGTTCACCTCCCAAATTGATATTTAAAGCCCTCCTCTAAATGGAAAAATGAGGCAAACAAATATGTAAAACTTACTCAAGAGCTTCACAGCCTACTAACACCACACAAATGAGTTGGGAAGGTCCTTTTGGGTAACTACCTAATAGATCTGTGACCGGGACTGCCAACAGATGAAAAAAATATTTGTTTCTTGACCCGAATCTAAACAACAATAAGTTTATATCCAATTTCAATAAAAGAATTACCAATTCCTGTTTAGGTGGATTTTTAATGAAATAGTTGAATTATATGGGAGATAAAGGATCCATCAAGAAAATATAATCAAATATTTATAAATAAATACAAATGACATTCTTCTTTTATTTTTCAAGTTTGGCATGTGGCAACATTAGGTGAATTCTTTTGGCAAAAGAGTGGATTTATAACAAACATAACTTGTTCCAGTTCGATTTGGAAGCCTAGTCAATACTCGGGCAATTTTACCGATTGACGAGGCCTTGACCAGTTGCTCGGTATTGAGTTTTCATTTACCGACAAACTTTTCACATAGAAATTCTTTGCTGTGGTAACACCTTTAGGCCAGTCATTAGGTACGCAGGGTCGGCGCAAATGACTTTAGCGCCCTAGGCAAATGAACTGTCTGCCGCCCTCTTCAAGTGAAAGTACAAATATGCATGAAAATTGTACGTAATAGTGATACCTGACTTACAAAATATAAAATATCAACATGAAAAAAAAAAAAAAAACATGTTAAAAATAAATACAAATTCAGGGCCGTCGTTAGGCTTCTGGCTGCCTCGGGCAAAAAAAATGCAAACCTGGGCTCAGTTAAGCTGGCCCCCCCCAGTTTAATTTTTTTGCTCAAAAAGCTAGCGCAGATAGAGGATAGCTAGCGCAGGCTAGCGCACCACTTTTAAAAGCTAGCGCACCGACCCCCGCGGAAGTAGCAGGGGATGCGATCGGGGGGGGCCAGATTAACGCTAGCCCCCCCAGTTAATATTTTTGTCTCAAAATGCTAGCGCAGAATGAGGACACCTAGCGCAGGCTAGCGCACAACTTTTGAGAGCTAGCGCACCAACCCCTGTGGTAATACCAGGGGATGAAATCGGGGGGGGCCAGATTAACGCTAGCCCCCCCCAGTTAATTTTTCTTGCTCAAAATGCTAGCGCATAATAAGAACACCTAGCGCAGGCTAGCGCACAACTTTTGAGAGCTAGCGCACCAACCCCTGTGGTAATACCAGGGGATGAAATCGGGGGGGGGGGGGGCAGATCAACGCTAGCCCCCCCAGTTAATTTTTCTTGCTCAAAATGCTAGCGCAGAATAAGGACACCTAGCGCAGGCTAGCGCACCACTTTTTATAGCTAGCGTACGAACCCTCGCGATACTAGCAATACAGGGTGTCCAAGCCGAGAGTGACCCATTTAAAATGAACATAATAAGCTTGACAGTTTCCACATTTCACTTTTGCGCATGTTTACTTTAAAAAATTCTCTTTCCGAGGTGGAACTGTTGGAGTGAACTCCATGTACTTCACTCCGTATAGTCGAACTTTAATGGAGTCACCCCTAATACGCCAAAAAGCAATACCCGAACGGCTGGAGTCTGGATGGAGTCACTCGGAGTGCACGGAGTGAGCAACCGAACCCACCTAATTGAAACTACTGACAGTGATGAAATGAAAAATGACAATTCTTACATACAAGTTTTCATATCGATATGACAAATTTGTATCGATATGCTCCATCATCGCGGACGTATCTATATATCGTAGTTGAGTTCGGAATGGGATTTTAGTGCAGTGCTAGTGCGGTGTTCGTGTGGTGCAGTGTTATATCACGTGATGAAGGTGTAATCGGCGGTGTGACACCGAATACACCATCATTTTGTACCGAGTAAACGGTGTCCACCATTCGGACACCAAATCATTTCCAAACACAAAAAAAGTGTACACCGAACACTTCTACTAATTAACGAACGCCACAATGTCGATAGTGTAAAAAGTGTCTACACTTTGTACCATTCCAAACTCACCTCGTATGTATTTATGGGTGTCCCACAGTGACGTTTATTGAGAACTAAATAGCGGAGCATTCTAAAAATTTGGCAACCGGGATAAGCGACCATGATGGATCTACCTTAAAAAAATTTTGTCCATGCGGTGTTGCCGCTTCTACTCTAAACCAGTAGCAACATCGCTATTTTAAATGGAACACCCTGGTTGTTTTTAAATTTTCGAATTTAGCAAATATGAGCAACTTTTCTTAATACTTCCCTATACCTATCTGTCGCCGCTTCTGGGGAATAAATAATTATTTCAATTTTTTTTTTTTAACGGAAACAGGACTTCAAATAAATCTTGATATCAAATCGAAAACATGAAGAATTAGGTATAGGCAAAGTATATACATAGTCTGAAAGCTAATTTTATCAACTTTTTAAATCCGTATTATTATACAGGGTGTTCCATTAAAAAAAAAATCTGGCATTTTTGTAAGTTACCGACAAAAATTAATTTCCGGACCATCCTGTATACTTGAACTAAGATGTGAGCGAAAGATCAAATGCCTAGAGGGATAACCAAAATTACAGCTGAAAATTGTTTTATAGGAGGCAGATATAATAATTGGAAGTCCAGGTTTTCATTTAAAAAAAATTGAAATTAATATATTCCTGAAAAACGGCGACAGATAGGTATAGGGAAGTATTAAGAAAAGTTTCTCATAAATTATATACCGAATTCGAAAATTTAAAAATATACAGGGAGTTCCATTGAAAATAGCGATGTTGCCACCGGCTTAGGGTAGAAGTGGCAACACAGCATGGTCAAAGAGTGGATCATGGTCGTTTATCCAGGTTGCCAAAATTTCAAAATGATCCCCTTTTTAGTTCTAGTATGATTACGTTTAATTTTTTTTAAAAATTTAAAATATTGCTATTATCGCGAGGGTTTGTACGCTAGCTATAAAAAGTGGTGCGCTAGCCTGCGCTAGGTGTCCTTATTCTGCGCTAGCATTTTGAGCAAGAAAAATTAACTGGGGGGGCTAGCGTTAATCTGCCCCCCCCCCCCCCCCCCCCGATTTCATCCCCTGGTATTACCACAGGGGTTGGTGCGCTAGCTCTCAAAAGTTGTGCGCTAGCCTGCGCTAGGTGTCCTCATTCTGCGCTAGCATTTTGAGCAAGAAATATTAACTGGGGGGGGGCTAGCGTTAATCTGGCCCCCCCCCGATCGCATCCCCTGCTACTTCCGCGGGGTTCGGTGCGCTAGCTTTTAAAAGTGGTGCGCTAGCCTGCGCTAGCTATCCTCTATCTGCGCTAGCTTTTTGAGCAAAAAAATTAAACTGGGGGGGGCCAGCTTAACTGAGCCGCAAACCTGCTCTGCCACATTCTCGCCGCAGGCGCCACCGGAGCGGAATTTTTTTTGTGGGTGTCACGCCCAAGAACGTTAATTTTAAGCCAAACTTATATATAAGATAAATAATGTCTTTGGTCGCCTTTATACATAAAACTGCCGCCCGCTCGCTCGACCCCTAACGACGGCCCTGAACAAATTACCATCTGTTTTTTTAAGTTTTTAGCGCTAGTAGAAACAGCTATAGCAGTGTTTGGGTTTGCGAAAGAAATGCAACCCTAATATTATGCATAAAAGCCGGATAAAAAAAATGTTATCAGAATTTTTTTTTATTTTTTTTTAAATTTTTTTTAATTTTCATCTTTTTTGTTTTTTTGTTTTTGTTTTGCCGGCCCCTCTAAGTTTGCCGCCCTAGGCGACCGCCTTCGCCTAATGGCTGCGCCGACCCTGTAGGTACGAGCATGCAAAAGGTTGCGGAGTTTTGAAACTTGGCAGGAACGTAGACTCTTCAGATGCACTTTAGCACAGCCTCCTATACTTAACAAGCCATGAAGTTGGAAATGACGGCAACGTCGCGTATGGTGCTATTTTGTTATTGGGTTATGTGGGCTGTGGTTATGTGTTTCTGTGTATTGCTTTCATTGTGTATTGTTGCAATTTAGTATTTTTATGGGCATTATATTGACGAAAAAGTGGATAGAAACACACCAATATATTGCCCATATTTAGTTGATACCTGTTCCTTTGTGCTTTGATTGCAAATTTTTAGCAAATGTGTACAGGAGCAAAAATGAAGGTAAGGTAAGGTAAAACAATAAAAACAATATTAATATTTGTCTGCAAGAGCATAGGTCTCGATATATTACCTAAGATATTTAAACTTGTTCCAGATGCCATGAAACTACTGTGTTCCTGGGTGCAAATCGAACTATTAGGAGTTCCTTAAAAACTGAAGAAATGCAAACATTTTTATTTAAAAAAAAATTCTGAATTGCAAAAAATGTAAATGAAAGCAATACACCAAGATAATTATACCCGAGATTATACAATAACGGAAAATTCTGTGGTGTGTTGTAAACATTTTGAAGAAACCGAAATAATTAGATTTGAAACAAACAAGGATAAAGGCGTAGTTCGAGAGTTCAAACTAAAACGTCCAACTCTTAAAAGTAGGTACCTCTTATTTTCGAAAATCAGCTCAAGTATTTGAATGGACTTGCCTTGCGAAAAAATCCCGAAGAAACAAAAAGTTAGATTTTCAAAAGACATACTGAAACATAACACTTTAGACTCTAGAAATATATTTATTTAAATCAATTATTTACTGTTCTTATTTACACAAATAGTTAAATTATTCATTGAATTACTGTTTTTGGCCCTTTAGTACAATAAATTATGCATTTTTTGTGATTCATATTAATAAAAATAAAAAATATATATTTATACAAACAAACACCACCAGCACCACTTGGCGGTAAGATTGCGGTGTTGCCTTTTTAACTTCATGGCTTGTTAAATGTAGGAGGCTGTGACTTTAGCAATTAAGCAAAGATAATTGCGACCGCCGCCATCTTGAAAAAATGGAGGTCAAAATCGAATCAAAATTTTGTCTTAAAAGTTGGTTCCTGTGGGTTTAAGGGAAAAAAGTTTCGAGAAGAAGTTTAAGAAAATAAAATTTTCTACAAAATACCTATTTAAACTTTTTTGATCGGACGAATAGTTTCCAAGTTACAGGACCGAACATTAGCATGCATTTTTCGAAATCTCATATAAGCTGTATTTACCTGTAATTTTTTACACATTATGTATGATTTAAACTACCTGAAGTTAAATAATGGAAACATAGGCTATCAACTCGTTTCCACACCACCCAGGAGGTAGAGCTGACCGGCGCTTTTTTTTTAACTTATTGGTATTCCCAGCGTAGGCCTATTCCACAATTTAAACACGTTCGCTGCGACCTATTAAAATTGAAACTTCACCCGGTGGCTGATGTAATTTTTTTGAATTTTCTGCTTCTAATACGTTCAAAAAAATAGATAAAACTGCTATCCCCTCCCAATAAATCCAACTGGATCATATATAACTGTTAACTCGTTATGTGGGTTTCCCCCTTCATACTCATTACGAGACGGACAACCAACATAATTTTTCACATCCATAGACATAGACCTCATCTGGTGTGCTAATGCTAATGGGTATTGAAAGTGCTTGCCTCTTGCCTGGTGTGCTCACGACAGCAGAAACGATTTTGGGAGCTTTGTCGTCAATCAGCAGCGAACGGGTTAATTTAATGCACTTTTTTATCGCATTGTATCGAGATGTTCCTGTTTTTTTTTCTGTTCAGTACATAAGTATTTGTCAAGTCTTGTTTGTCTTCCGTCTCTTCCAATACCCACCTCAACGAATTGAATTCATTATCAGCGTCGTTTGGTTGGTCATCGGAATCGGAATCAAGCATCAACTCAGGAATGTTTTCACATGAAGTGCCGTTACAATATAAAACACAACAGCACTGAGCATTTTAATCCTGTTTTCCGCCATCCACACGCTCCTGCACAGCCTTTTCTACATTTGCAGGATATCGATTCCAAAATGGCGTCTGGAGTTGCTTCTATTATAGCCCGAACAGCATCGAGCCCTTTTGCCGTTTTCTGCCAGCCATATTGCTCAGGATCTAATTCTTTGCCAGACCACATCGCAACTTGATGATAAACTCGCAAACAGTGCAGCCTTGCACCATCTCTTGTGGGTGGCAGAGACGTAAGATTGAATTTGTTCTTATTCAGACATAGACTTCAGACTTCGTGAAATGCCATGCTGGTATCGATAAGTGAATCATTGTGTCCTTTTCAAACGATCCACCATATTATAGGGCCATTAAAAACGCTTCACCAGCTGCAGCAAGAGTACTTCACATCTGCTTCGAGCTCTTGGACGATGGCTATAAGCAACGAGTCGTGTCTATCCAGGAGATTGAGGAACTGTAAAAATAAAATATTCTTTGCAAGAGCTTCCTTGTAATTCAGGCTCCGTGTCGAATAACAAAGCGCTTCTAAATTTTTCCCTTTCGCTGGTTTTAGCAAAAAAATGTTTTCCCTGTCTCTTGCCTTTGCAGTTAATAGAACCAATAAATCTATGTCGTCTCCGACAACAAAAACCCGCGTATAAGACGATGCCATGTCGATGGCTGTCTGAATAACAGTGTTGCCACAGGCTCTGAAAATTTCGTGCCAGAATAAATTTTTAAAAGGGGCCAGATTTAGAAATTTCGGACAAACCGTTTTCAAATAAAAAAGAAGAGAGAAAGCTCGCCGGAGGCAGAAATTTGATGATCAAAAATTGATGATTTGGCTTGTTATGGAGAAACGGGGATTCGAAAAACAGAAGCCAACGGGCCACTCCGTCTTAGAAAGGGCCAGATCTGACTATATGGGGTCACCTGTGGCAACAATGCTGAATAATGAGAACATCCGCATCTTCTACTGCTCGCTTTGCTGAGTAATTTTGTTCTTCAAACCTGCTCGAAATCAACAGAAATTAAATTTCTCTTGTTATCAGCGCTCGGTAAGAATTTTTCTAGCGCAACAGGTGGAATCATCGCTTCGTCGAAAATTACATCAGTGGATACATGTGCTCTAGAGCTAGGGTTGCCAACCCCCCGATTTAGACGGGAGACTCCCGCTTTTTTGTCATGCCTCCCGTCGTAAAACATTGCAGCAAAAACTCCCGCTTTCTAAAAAAACCCCCGCTAACTCCCGCTTTTCAAGAATTTCACATTTGAGCAAAGAAAAATAAAAATTCAACGGGCATTTGCATTTTTTAGCCAGCGTTTTTGGATGTTCTTGGGTTTGGATATAAAAAAACGCCTTATTTAATTGGACATCTTAAGGTACGGTTTGTTAGGTTAGTACGCGACGCACAACTGACAACGTAAACGTCGTCATTGGTTCAGGTATGACCATAGGTATGACGTACACCCGTCTTCTGACGTGAGAAAACGGGTGTACGTCATACCTATGGTAATACCTGAACCAATGAGGACGTTTACGTTGTCAGTTGTGCGACGCGTACTCTCCCTACTCTTCTAACAAACCGTACCTTTAAGGTACGGTTAGGAGGGTACGCGTCGCACAACTGACAACGTAAACGTCGTCATTGGTTCAGGTATGACCATAGGTATGACGTACACCCGTTTTCTCACGTCAGAAGACGGGTGTACGTCATACCTGAACCAATGACGACGTTTACGTTGTCAGTTGTGCGACGCGTACTCTCCTAACAAACTGTACCTTAAGTCTACCTTCCTGTCAAGTTTCAAAACTCCACAACCTTTTACACCAAAATAAAAATTTTATGTATGACTGGCCTACTTGAGAAATGTCCTAAATTGAAAATTAAGATAGGAAATAGAATATAGAAAGGCCAGATTCAGTTGAAACTAAAAGTTTATTATGAAAATTACCTTCTGAAATATAATATTAACTTTTATAAAAATAGTAAACAGTACAAAAATTGACAGTAATACCTATTTTTTTAAAACATATTATGTACAAGGGTCACCCCAAATATAAAATCAAAACAGTCACAAATTATAATTATTATATTCCATTCTTCTTTTATGAAAATCCACATAGGAATTAAGAATACGTTGAATAACACATTGTGTAACAACCATTTGCTTCAAATTAGTATTCCATTATAGAATGCATCACGAAATATGACCCCAAATATTACTAAGCTTTTAATTTTAAAAGCATTATTTGCAATAAACAAATAAAACTTATTTCTTCAGAATTTGTACGCTGTCCTTAAGAACTAGCCATAACAATAGGCAAAAATATGAGTACCATATGATAATAATTTACGATCCCAATAGATCATTATCTAAAATTAATGAATTAACTAACTTATCTTCTATTATTTTCGGTTCTTTGGACAGCCGAAACACCATCAACAAACTTGGTCCTAAACAGCACATTTGCATTATTAAACATTCCATCTTTAAGTGAAACCACAATAAACTAAAACCAAAAATTATTACAACATAAACTTTCGACTCTCAAAAGTCAAAATTCGTACCTGTGATTTTTTGAAATGAGATTTAAGCATATTGCCAATGTTTTGAGTATGGGACAAATCCAGCGCAGCATCGACTTCGTCCAAAATATATAAAGGGGCTGGTTTAAAGAGTAACATGGCTAAAATCAAAGACAAGGCTGCCAGAGATCTTTGGCCGCCACTCAACTCTGTTAAACTCTCTTTCCATACATTTCCCAGGGAGACTTTAATCTTGAAATTATAATTTATTTAAAAATATCATGTTTATTTGAAGAGAAATCTCACCTCAAGTCCGCTTAGAGTATTTTTTGTTTGTAAAGGTATCAATTTGGCATTGGCTCCTGGTAAAAGCGTATTGAAAATGGAACCAAAATCTTTAGACACTTGCTCATAGGCGATTTTTAGGGCATTTTCTTTTTTCTTGTCCAATTCGGCCATTGATTTGAGTAGCCTTCTTCTATCAGCTTGTACTATTTTTTGTTTTCTCATCATTTCATCAAACTAAAAATAAGATAAATAAATTGTAAGTAGTCAAAGAGTGACACAAAAACACTTACCTTTTTTTCTTCAACCTCAAACATACTCTGTGCCTGAGTGTTAATTGTTCGGCCCAATTTATTTTTCCTTTCTTGGTTAGTTTTAATTTTTCTCTCCATGCCTAAACCTTCCTCTCTAGACAAAGCTTTTCCTTTTTCTAGGTAAATGTTGTTTTTACTCATTTTTTTCTCATACTCTTGTTCCTAAAAAAGAACCATCAAATTTATGAAATGGCTATGTTGAAAATTATTTGCCTACCTTATGCTTCAAACTTTTACAAGTCATACTCAAATCTTTGAGCTCGTGAGTAAGTTTTTTAATTTCCAATTGTAATTCATTATTTTGTGACAGCAGCTGCTCTTTTTTCTTAATTTTTCCCTGCCTTTCCTTATTCTTTTCTGCCATCTGCGATTTTATGATTTTAACTTGTTCCTGAATTTCTGAAACTGCTTCCTAAAAAAAATAATAATTGTGTTTGGCAATCCCAACAACAAATATTTGAATATTACCTTAGCTTCATTAGATCCTACAGAGGCGCCTTCACATTCTTCATGTAACTTCCTGATATTTTCCTGTGTCGCTGCAATTTGCTCCTTGACAGTTGCTATGCCTTTTTTCAACTCTTGAATTTCCAAAGTCAATGTTTCATAGTCTTGTTCTCTCTGACGCCACTCCTTTTTACTTTTATCCGCTTTGGCTTTGGCCTTTTTCATGTCCGCTTCTGCTTCTTTTAAGCGTTTCTCTTTGTATCCTGATGTGTCTTTCATCTTTACTTCCAAATCTTTAGCTTTGGCCGAGCATTTATTTTCAATTTCCAAACAGGATTTCACTTTTGCTCTCAGTTCGCCTATAAAAAATATAAGTAATTTTGGTCCTTGATAATAGCATCTTAATGTAGCTCAAAGCTGTGTTTTATAAAACATTTCGAAATACTATAACGCTTTTTACCAATTTGTGTTTTCAAGCCTTCCACTTCTTCTTGTTGCCTAGCAAAAGTTGTATTCATCAAGCGTTGCTTAATAAGATTAAGCTCGTGGTGGGCCATATCTAATTTATATTTGATGGCATTGTATTGCTCTTGGGCTCCATTCATAGGTCCCATTTCTCTGTCTATTTGTGACAACTCTTGTTCTTTTTGTTGTAGTAGTGCCTATCCAAAAAATATTAAAAAACAATTCCATAAAAGATCATATTTTCTTACTTCAGATACTTGAATCTGTCCAATGAGTGTTAATATAGAATCGCCTTTTTGTTTGGCACCACCACTAAGGGTACCATATGGATCAGTTGAATCTCCATCTAAAGTGATGCACCGCTTTCTAATTCTATCATTGAATGTTATTTTCCTTGCTACATCAATGTCTTTGCAGATGAAAACGTCCCCAAATATAAATTCCATGGCAGTTTGCACTTTACTGTCATAATTTATAAGGGCTATTGCTGGTTGGCAATTTTCTTTTCCTACCTGAAAGAGATAACAGCATACAAAAAAGAGATTATAAACCAAATGTGGCTACTTACCAAGCTTTGGGCGTAATTTATAGTTTGCTGGTCCATTCTTCGAGCAGCTATTTTGTTGAGAGGAATGAATGTTGTTCTGTTTTGTAGATCACCTCTTTGTAGTAACTTTTTACTCGTCACATCAGTATCAACAACAACATTATATAGCTGAAAAAAAGGTATTTGGCCAGTTATTTTTATGTTCATTTTGAGTTTTAAATAATATGACTTTACCTTTCCTCCAGCAGCAGTTTCCAAAGCAGTAGCATAAATATTATCCTTGAGAGTGAATAATTTACATACAACACCTTTCACACTAGCTTTATTAAAGTTCGGTTCTGGGTCTCTATATTGAAACGACGTATACGGTCTACTAGCTTGAAATCTTTCCACTTGATCAGTCAAATTTCTAATTTCGTGATTTACAGCTCTTCGCCTTGTTTGCAATTCAGTCATTCTTTCTTCAGAAAAGTTGATGCGTTTCATTGAATTCTGCATAAAAAAAGTATCAAATTAAGTCTTAATAGTGGAATCCAGAGACCAAAAAACAGTTTCAGTTATCCTGTTTAACTGAGTTCATAGCAGCAAATTTAACAAGTTCTAATACATATTAACAATCTTTTCATTGAATCAAACAACTAAATATCTAATGAGGGCCGGAATTGATAGGGCAAGACTTTGCTTGGCATTATTTTAAACTTATTATTCAAATGAGAAAAGGTATAGGTACCTCTAATTGGGCCACTTCCTTTTCAGTTTTTTTCAAATTGACCTGGTCCTTCTCATAATCGCCAGAATTAGTACTTGCATCCTTTTGTTTCGCCTTGAGCTGATTCTCACAGAATGTCAGCTGCATAGAGGCTTGCTTGCTTTCTGTACTTGCCCTAAAAAGCACATTAAAAAAAAATAGATTTTATTTTGTAAAAATTATTACTTTGAGGCTTCTTCTTTGGCATTCATCAATTGCTCGGCCAAGGTTTCCGCTTCACCTTGATCATTTACTTCCATGCCAGCGCATACAGCTTCAAATTTTTTCTCAGACAGTTCATAAGCTTCAGTATCCAATCTGTCATTTTCTTTAAGTGTTTCAAATAAGGATTGAACCTGAAAATTGTATTGATAAATATAATATAGAAAATGTTTTATTATATATTTTACTTTGCTCAGTTCATTTTCTTTTGCGTTTAAAGTTTTCTCATCATTGGCAACAGTTTTCTCCAATTGTTTCTGCTTTTTCACTTCAGTGGAAATATTGTCTTTTATTGCCTTCACAGAAGCATTAACTTTAGCTTCCTGTTTTTCTTTTACTTTTAGCTGTTCTTCAAGATTTTTCAACTCTTTATATATTTCCTATAAAATAATAATTCAATTAGCTAAAAATATAAATAGATAATAAAGAAACATACAGATTCAGTATCAGCTGCAATATTTTCAACTTCAGCATCTAGAGTTTTAGCTTTTTTAACGTTTTCCTTGATTTGTGTGTCAATATTTGTTATTTTTTGTTGTCCCTTTTTTAAAGCCTCATCCGCTATTGCATAATTTCGTTCGGCTTCGTAAAACTGCCACACTTGAAAAACGCCCAGTAAATGCTCCAGTTCGCGTTCAATTCGTTGATATTCAAGATATTGCTCCCTGTCAGCTTTGAGCTTTTCTAGTTTTGGAGAAAGCTCTTCATTTATCACCTTGAAATAATTATTTGATGTTGTTTTTAATAACTAAACATTTAAAAGATTTCAATTAATCACTTACAGCTTGAAATTCTGCGAGTTTTGAGTCTTTTTTTTCTATAACTTTTTGCGTGAGCTGTCTCTTGGTTTCATACATTTTTGTGCCAGCCGCTTCTTCTACCATAGACATTATCTAAATTGAAAAAAAAGCTGTGGGGTAACAACACTCAAACAATCAATGAAGAATTCAAGATTTCAGCGTGGTAATACCAGTACATATTATCTGATGCATAATAAGTATACAGTGTGTACCTACATAAAAAAAAAGATAATTGTTTGGCACTAAGTAGTTTTGGCAATTTCTGCCACGATAAATAATGATCATTCTCAAAAGGGTTTCCATCACATTTTCGAAACAATCTGAAATTGGTTTTTTCTACAAACGTGTTAAAAATGCAATTTTTAACACCGCCCCGAAGCATTAAAAATGTTACTTTATCGCACTAGTGCCATAAAGTCTTTATAGCACTAGTGTTAAAAGTGAAACATCAAATTTTGAGAGCGGACGTCAAAAAAAGTTTGTATTTTCAGTTATTTACATTGATAATAATGGTGAAATTTGAACAACTGAGGTAGCCCGATTGGCCGCCTCATCTATATTTTTCGAAGGATCGATGCAACTCTCTTTTTCTTCTGTATTTTGTTGCATTTTTAGCAAAAAGCATTCCTGACCACGACATACTTTCAAGAAACTGACAAGACATTTCGTTACCTGTAAAACAAGGTGCTGGTTGTATGGATTTTTGGACAAATGTCAAATTCAAGAATTTTATGTAGGAAAGATGCTTCCAATTTATTATTCATTTAAAAATCCAATTTGTTAGTGGTTATTGCTTTTTATTGCCGTTTGTAGAAAAAATATTGTATGATATTTGTGTTAAAAGTATTTTTAAGGCACTTATGTGAATTGCAAACTTTCACATGCGTGCCTTAAAAATGTACTTTTAACACTTATATCATAAATAACTATTATGTGCATTTCAGCAACCGATATGTCAAAAACTAATTGTACACAATTAGAGCGTTGTCGATCCAAAAATTGATATTTTGCTTTGTTTTGATTGGGGTAGGATCGGAAACAAAGCTTGTGTGTTTTTGAATTCCGTAATTTACATAATATAATGATGATGTTCCAAAGACAAAAAAACTTTTTTCTCCAAACGTCAGAAAAATGTCACTTTGTTAACCCCTGTCAAGATGTCAGAAATTTGATTTCTATGCTGCTAGGCAAATCCAGCGGGTTAACACCTGTCGAGGTGGTAAAATAGTATATTGTTGTATTAGGAGTAGAAGTTTTACTTTTTTGTGCTGTAGGTTTGCGAGCCAAACGTAGTGAGGCTTGCAATGCTGCTGAAGCACAAAAAAGTGGTTCTACTCCGTATGCAACACGCTATTTTTTCTCCAAACAAATGGGGTAAACTCGGGGTAACTGAATGGTTAAGCGGCAGTAAAAGTACGAGCGGCAGTAAAAGTACGAGCGGCACTAAAAGTACTTTTGCTGCCTCTCCAGCGGCACTAAAAGTATTTTTGCTGCCGCTGGGGTTGCCAAGCAGCATAGAAATTAAATTTCTACCACCTCGACAGGTGTTAACCTGCTCGATTTGTCTACCAGCATAGAAATTAAATTTCTGACATCTTGATAGAGGTTAACAAAGTGGCGGTTTTTTGACGTTTGGAGAAAAATTTAATTTCTATGCTGCTTGGCAACCCCAGCGGCAGCAAAAGTACTTTTAGTGCCGCTGGAGCGGCAGTAGAAGTACTTTTAGTGCCGCTCGTACTTGTGCTGCCGCTCAACCATTCACTTGCCCCCGAGCTTACCCCATTCGTTTGGAGAAAAAATAGCGTGTTGCATACGGAGTAGAAGCACTTTTTTGTGCTTCAGCAGCAAACCTACCGCTTCAGCACAAAAAAAGTAATGCTTCTACTCCTAATACAACAATATACTATTGTAATACCTATAAGATCTGTGATAAATTATTTTAATGACAAGAAAAGTTAATTTTTAAATGTAAGTAGTAGTCAGTATGTTCCTAATGTCCACCTTTTAATTATTTATTTATTAAATTTTTCACATCTATTGTAGTGTCCTGAGGATGCAAATAAATTTTGCGAAACGTCGACAATTTTGAAGAAAACAAACTTCCGTTGGTGTTTTTTTTTTCCGATCCTACCCCAATCAAAACAAAGCAAAATACTAACTGTACGATTTGATATTTTGCTATGAGACTGTAAAAGGAAAGCAACAAGCTATCCAAGATAGGTTCATATTTGAAAAAACTAAATTAGGCGGGATGAATCAAAAAGTGCCTCATTATAGGTCCCCCTCCAATACGTTTTTGAGATCTTGAATAATAATAAAAATAATATTGTTCTTTTGCTCTATGAACGCTGTCTTCTTGTTTGTAGGTTTAAGGTATAATCATTTTAGTATTACACAAAGAAAAATATTTATTTCTTAGTTATAAGCAAAAAAAAATAAAAATTCTAAAAAAGTAAACTAAAACATTCATATGAAAATTTATTTGGATAGGTATATAGAAACAATAGAAAAAAATCGTCGGGCATGTTCAACTGATGTGGCCCCCTTCATGTCCAAGTCCATGAAAATAACCTGAGGGGCCACGTCAGTCATAAAATAACTGACATAGAAAAAATGGTAGGGAAAAGTAAAAACAAACAAAAAAAATACTATAAAACAATATAATCTATCATTTCAGCAACTTTTTAATAAAAATTAAGAGAAAAACATGCGTGGCTTCGTGGGATATTTTCCCAATATACACGTGGCATGTAATGTGTTATGGAAATCTTTTTTAGCATTATACCGAGTCATAATACAAAATTTCCAACTGGCAAGCACATCTTCAAGAACTAATACGTTAAAAAAGATTTCTATTATGGATTAAAAATTTATTGGACAATAAAAAACAATGGTGCAGACCGCATCCTTTTATCTTTTCTAGTTTCGAGGATATTAGCTATTAAAATGCTTCAGTTTGGGCTAGGACACCCTGTATTTGTTTCAACAGTTTTGCACCTGAGAAGCTTCAAAGCTATTTATCGAACATTGAGAATTTTCTAATAATGACACAGACAGTTTTAGTCTCACAGCTCCTTCAATTTTTATCTGATTTCGATGCAATTTTTTAGAAGGCGTTTATACAATGTCATAAGCATAAAATAAAATCAACTCTAACCCGACTTTTTGTAGGGAGAATTTGTTTATTTTTTGCGAATCGAACTCGTCTATTTACTTTTAATACTTGTTCAAAGTTTCAAAAAGTGTGGAAATTAAAATTCTGCAAAAGAAAACCATACAAGTGATAGGTCTGTCCTATTTATTTTTGAGTTTTGCTAATAAACAACTTCAACAAACGCAAACCATAAACAAAGAAGGTGGAAAGTGAGTCCCATCAATAAAAAAAGGCAGAAGGAACGGCATTTTGCCACATTATTCAAAGACATGTAGAAGCTTGATGGAGACCCTTTTTTTTAAATACTCTAGAATGACTCAAGATCAATTTAAATACAAACAGAACTAAAATAGCAGATTTGAATAGTTTTTCTCTGTAACAGCTGATAATGGCGCTTGCGCAGTTTGGATCTCGTCTTAGTCACAATCATAAAAGTTAAAAGTTGCCAACTTTGAGTTATGCTTATGCCTATGATTTGTGTATAAACGGTTCCATAAGAAAATATTATTTTAACTCTTATGACTAAGACTATGATTATGATTACGACTATGCAAATTTTGTATAAACCAGCCATTAGTTTCAATAGTTTTGCAGCTGAAATCTTCAAAATTGAATTTATCAAATGTTGAAAATTTTTCAAAAACTACACTGAGACAGTTCCTGCCTCACAGCTCTATTAATTTTCATCTGATTTCAATGTAATTGAGCTCTAATTAAAGCCAATTAAATTCTCTACAAACCTGTTAATAAGGTTTTCAATTTGGTTTCAATTATTTATTTACTACCTAGTTCATTGGTACAAATTCTTTTTTTGGTTACGTTACTACTAGTACTAGTAGTTATCTTGAGAAAAGTTCCTTAAGATTTTTATTTTTTTTATTATAGATAAGAAAAATGTGAATAATCCTATATTTTAGATTGACATTTGGCACTATGGTACAAAAGAGTTCTGTATGAGTGTATAATTTACTATTCTTTTTTTAGGTTGACCCGAGGGTTGACCATAATTCCTGTTAGGGCAACAACAAAAAAATCCCATAAATACCTACCTGGAATTCCCTGTAAATTTCTCAGAATTTTATTGAAATGAACCATATCTTTATCGTTGTAGAAATTATCTTACACACAAGGGTAAAATTATTGTAACGCATTCTTTCTGTCTTAATTCGGATACATGATCCCAATATGGGGCACTTTTGGTTCTGTTGGCTTTAGATCTATGCAAAGTTTTCAAAATAAAATATTGAATATTCTTTTTTCATTTGAATGGTTACCTAATATCGATTACCTTTAGAGTGAGTTGGGTGAGTTACTGGAGTAAGGGCAATGCAAACATATTCATGAAATCATTGATTAGACAATCAAATGTAATACAGTAGAACCCCGATTATCCGAGTCGCAATTATCCGAGCTCTGGATTAACCGAGCCAGTCTAAGGACCCAAAAATCCTGATTATCCGAGGTACGCACATCCACACTCCATATTAACCGAGTTTCCTAAATATACAGTCTGTGTCAAGAGAAAAGAGTAGGGTGACAACAAGTGTGCACAAACCCAATTTTGGACGCTAGCCGAACTACCGTATTGATAGTTTATTTTCTGTCAAGGTTTTGTCTAAAAAGATACTTGCTGCTGGTTTTTTTGTCTCAGCAGAAACGAGAGAGAAAGAAGACAGAGAGATCCGACCCGCTTTGCGCAGCTTAGTGTGTCGTCACCGTACTATTTTCTCTTGACGTGGGCTCTACATACATGTACATTCCGATTATCTGAGTTTTCTGTTACCCGAGGTGGGTACTCCCCCACGTTACCTCGGATAACCGGGGTTCTACTGTACTAACTTGTCTATCAATATAGCGATCTTCATTTGGTTGCAAAATAACACATATAAAGAAGTGTTTACAGGCAATATTGGTCTGAGTAACCCAGGGAGTGACCCACTGAGTAAAGCTCAGTAAAACTGTCTAGCTTTGGCTATTAGGAATGTCACAAATTGTATTGCATTCTTAAATACCTAAGCTTAAACAACATCTACAAATGTGTCCATAAACAGTGTACTACAATATTTATAACTAACTGTAATGTTCCCAGAAACTCAAAAACCCCACATCTACATTTAATTTACTGCAACCTGCAATACTTTCATTGCACCATAAAAGTACAACTACAATACTGTTTTCCATTCTTACCTCTGGTGCTTTCATACCCAACACCTTAGTGATCCGCCCCTGCATGATAAGAAAATGCGGATTGTTCACGTTCAATTGTACTGAGCAAAACAAATCTTGAATTTTCTTGCCGGTCACATTAATACCGTTGATCATGTATTTGTTCTTGCCACCCAAAGCAATTTGTCGGGTGATGGTAATTTCATGGGTCTGTTCAAATCCAGAAGGGCACTGTGCCGGATTCCTATTATCGAAAGTGATTGAAACGGTGGCCTTGTTTATTCCGGCTTGGCCACTTTTGAAGATGAGGTCTTGCATTGTACTGGCTCTAACCTATGTTTTGTTTATGAGGATTTGTTGGGAAATGTAAAATGTTTATAAACTCACATGAGTCAAATTGGAGATACCCAAAACGAAGCAAATTGAGTCCAAAATGTTTGATTTTCCGGTTCCATTTAGTCCAGTGATAGCGTTAAACAATGGATCAAATCCTGTTATTTCAGTTCTCTGTCCGTATGATTTGAACCCGTCTATCACTATGGATTTGATATACATTTTGCTAATTTGTTATGTTGCATTAAAAAGGCAAAGGTAAAATTAAACAAATAAAACCGAGGAAATGAAAAATTGAATTGAATGAACGTTAATAATCAACAAATGGCTATGGCGCCGACTGGTTTTTGACTGTTAACTGTCAATGGTCATTTTCAAAAAAAGGCGTTTTCGGTTGGTACAAAAGGTGGGTTCGGCTTGCTCATTCCGTGCACACCGAGTGACTCCATTCGCACTCCAGCCGTTCGGGTATTGCTTTTTGGCGTATTAGGGGTGACTCCTTTAGTGTTCGACTATACGGAGTGGAGTAAATGGAGATCACTCCAAAAGTTCCACCTCGGAAATAGAATTTTTTAGAGTAAGCATGCGTAAAGCCTAGTACTCATAACTGCGAAATTCGCATTTTTTTGACATTGCGTTGAAAATTTGACGTTTTATGCGTGTATCAAACGTCAAAGTGTCGAAGCAATGTCAAAAAAATCCGAATTCCGCAGTTATGAGTACTAGGCTTAAAAGTGAAATGTGTAATTATCAAGCTTGTTGTGTTGTCACGTTGTCTGGCTCGACAGTTTCAATTTACTAATCACACGCCTGTCAAAATTTCCTAGAAAATCGATGGAAAAGATGACAAAAAAACGAACACAACTTTATTATATTTTTGCTCCGACCGTTCGTGTATTAATTTTTCACTCTAATCACTCCTAGATCACATGACAAAAATCTGGTCTTACTCCACTCCAACTCCGTGCTGAATAGCCGAACCAATGAACTATAACCAAAAACTGGAAGCGCACACATTAGCTGGGTTCGGCTATTCAACGCGGAGTTGGAGTGGAATGAACAGAGCTAATGGAGTCACCCCTATTACGGTAAAAAGCAATACCCGAACCTTAACCCGAACGGCTAGAGTGCGAATGGAGTCACTCGGAGTGAGCAAGCCGAACCCACCTAATATTGGCGAACGTGAAGCCTAGTGCCGCTGCTGCGGAGGGGATGCCTGTTTTTGTCGCACTCATTACGTTAAATGGCGGAAATTGCTGCCAACACGTATTCCAATTGATGAAACCTGTGTAGGTAAATATAACAAAACTTTCCAAAACGTCATATGTCAGCGAGCAACATTTCCCCTTGTGGCATCCGTCTCTCATGGCTCATTTTTTTGGCGGATATGTGTGCGCATCCCAGTTTTTAGCTATAGTTCATTCAGCCGAACCCAGCTAACGAAAATGTATTCTATTTCTTTAACAGGTCGAGAGAAAGAGATGGCAATACACTCAGAGCCGCTTTTCAGTATGGGAGTGTGACGCCCGGAGCTACTCCGGGCGTTGAGCCCCCGAGCTGTACGTACGCGTCAACCTATCAGCTGTCACAACCGTGGGTGGCTATTATCTATTTATTTCTTGTTATACCTCAATATTGAACATTTTAAAATATATAGTTTTGATTCTCTTTCATTTTTGATAAATAGAAAAACAAACTGCACAAACAAACAGATAATTATTTTGAAAATTTGACATATTTGACACTAAGACAGGCGTCTCACGCCATGATACTGGAACGGTACAAATCTAGTGCGTGGCGCCCCCGAGGTGCTCTAGAGCGCGCCAATGTGCATACTGGAAAGCGGCTCTCTGGTCTCTGGCGTCTTTCATTGGCCAAACCTGCTGCACTGAGACTCAACTAGTTCAGGCGAAAAAATGCTCTAGTGCAGTCACAATGAAATTTAGGTTTATTTTTATTTGTCATACTTGTATCAGTTGTATTCCTCTCAAGAGTTTAAAACACTCGAGCTACTCGCTACGGTGTTAGTCGCCCCCGATTTGAGAGGAACAGATGCGTGGTACAACAATAAACACTTTTCGAAAGGAATAAGCGCGTAACGCCCCGGAGCTGTTCCGGAGCTCCTCCTAGGTGTGAAAGGAATACAACTATAAATACCCGAATACCCAAACTTTCTTTGTATTTCCTCCAAGAGCTCGTGCCGATAAAACTGCTCTTAGATCAAAAAACGCTGCTCTGATTTTCCAATGGAAAACACACACATGCACTGAGACGATTTTCAGTGACGAATTTTAAGATGCTCCACAGCCGTAGCTTCACACTCTGGTGCTCCAAACAACTGTTGTTTCACTGGAACGCATTCTACTTAGAGCGTCGTATTTTTGATGCACCCATAAAATTGCTGGTGCTTGAGAGGGCAGGAGAGAGGAAAAACGAACCAGTTCAGTTGCGCGAAACTCTTGAAGCACTGGGTAGCCTATAAACAGCCCGGGGCGCTTTAGAGCAGCTCAGGAGTGCTCAAGTGCGTCACTGGAAAACGATTCGGTTTCAGTGGTTTCGTGCTGGAAATTTGGTGGATGTAGAAAAGACCATCTACATCGTCTTGCCGGAATTCCGGAGAACGGACATTGCAATTTTGGCGCGGCGCACGGCGACTCCGCTGGTGATTGACTAGTGGCTGAACTTACTACTAGCCGCTGGCACCGCCTGAATGTATTATAGGCAATTTTTCGCGAGGATAATCAAGCATAATCTGATTATGCTGGGTTAAGTGGTGTGTCGGAATTGTGTCATACTTCCCTAACTCCCTCTCCATCAAATTCTGGGCCTGCGAGTGACGTCACTGGCAGCCGCTTTTAGTGATGACGTCACCTGCAGACCCCGATGGAATGCTTGCGATTCAGGCTGTGCTAGTGAGTTGATTTTTTCGTCGATTTCAAATGTAGAAAAGATGATTTTCGGTCTGTTCTCACAGAAGAAATTAAGGATTCTTGATCCTCGAGTATCCCAGAATTTGATGGTAATGATGGTGGGAGAGCTAGGGGAGTATGACACACTTGACACATCACATCCAGCATACTCGAGTATGCTTGATTATTTCCGCGAAAAATTACATCATGGGCTATTTTTCTCCTTGTGTGTTCGATTATGTTAAGTAATTCGAGGATTACCCAATTTTGACATTTGGATTACCGCATGATTACCGTTTCTAGTCGATCAATTCACCTGTCAATTAGGATAAACGTTGAACTCATTGAAAAATAGGTGGGCAACAAATTACTGGTTCTGGAACGGCTCTTATGTCTGTTGGAACCTGGTTGGAACAGAGCTATTATTTAATTTCGGAGCAAATCATCATGTTCACGGCGCGTTCGGATCGATTGTTTGTCGAGCGCGTCCCGGTTGTTCAGATTAGGTTGTATTTTGCCGGATACCGGACGCCATCCAAAGTCCGTTACAAGATAAATATACTTCAAACTTCAGTAATTTTTATAGTTATTAGCTAACAAATGCGGAAACTGATGCTTTACCGCACGCAACGGCAGTCCGGTCAAGTCGTTAAGGACGGTGAAGGTACTTTCCGCATGTGCTGCTAGGTAGCGTATGCGTATATAACGCTTTCTTTTTGTCTCATACTATTCCAATATGGGGCACTTGTGGTAATGTTGGTGTAAGATCTATTCAAACAATTTAAAATGAAATATTGAAGATTCTTTTTTCATTTGAGTGGTTGACTCGCACCGATTACCTTTATGAGTTGGGTGTCTGTCAGTTGAGTAAGCTACTGGAGTTAGAGCAAAGTAAACATATACATATAAAATCATTAATAAGACAATTAAATGTGATACTAGCTTGTCTTTTAATAGGGATCTTTATTTGTATAATACTAGGGTGCAAAATAAGATATATATCAAGAAGTTGTTAGGAGTAATATTGGTCTCTGAATAACCCATTAAGTAGAGCTATGTGTATAACCCTTTGCCTATTTATTAGGAATATCACAAATTGTAATTCATTTTTAAGTAAGCTTAAAACATACCTACAAATATGTCCATGAACTACTCTGTACTAAAATAGGTATTCATTAACTAGCTGGTAATAAGCAAGCACAAAATTTGTTAATGATTCCGATACCAGTGTTTAACACACTTCTTATGAATGTTATTGTTATTGTAAGTTATATATTATAGGTATTTCATGAAATAAAAGTTTTCAAAAAAAAAAGTTACATCATTTTACCTATGAGCATCTACGCATCTCCAAAACAAGGCATTCTGAAAAGGGAGGGATTTTTGATAAGGAAAATGTGTACAAATTAGGGGATATCGGAAGGAAATCCGAGGAGATTTAGGCAATAAGGGGAAATCCCAGATAGCACACAAAGTTTTAAAGACATCTTTTTTAGATCTGCATTATGTCTGAACGTCTGAAGACCCAAAAAAAGACGTTGTTTTGCAGATGTCCATAGGATGTCGTAAATTCACATCTTCAGGACAACTATTTGGTACCTACAACCAGGCCTAAAAGTGAATAATGGTTTATGTATTGAAAAGAGATTCAAAGACGTCTTTAAGACATCTCGAATAAGACGTCTTCAAAATATCTTAATCCTGGAGACGACTTTGGGCAGACGTCTGAAAGACGTTGGGTTTTGTTACATACGACGTCTTCAGGATGTCTTGAAGACGCTTTAAATACGTAAGCAAGACGTCTTGAATGGATGTCGTTTGTGGACATCTTCAAGATATTCAGAGAAATTTCTCACAGAACTCATTTCTCATTCAATTTTGAAGTTACTGGAAACAGGAACTACTTAGAATGCTACGGAACACTTTAGAACTTCAATAAGCCTTTTGGAAAGCTCAAACCACTTAAAATTCAATTCAGAATTTCCAAAAGCATTTTGGAAATTTCAGAATCAATTTTACAACGCGTCAAAACATTCAAAAACGGATTCACAATTTCCAAAAACGTTTTAGAGCAGTTCAGAAGTTTGAAATCCATTTTGAGATGCTCCAAAACACTCGGCTAAGGCCAGAATGAAGGTGACAAGCTTGATGGTAAGTAAGATAATAGGTTAGGAGGTCGGCTTGTCTACCAAGATAGCAAAGAGGCCACACTCTAATCTAGATGATGAGATAAGTAGTTCATACTTCATAAAAAATGGCTGTTTTAAAACTGAGTAGAAGGATATTTTTTTAGGAAAATTTTAGTTTGAAATTTAAAATAAGTATATCGACCGCTAACCATCGTAGTTTACTTCTTGAGACACTTCTGCCCACAGTTTTTTTATAGGTAGGTAGGTACTCTTACGTTTTTTTTTACAAATT